TGTGTATAGGATGGTTGGTATTGAAAATGAAATCTATGGGTCCACGTTTTGGTATAGTCCACATATAACGGTATCTCTCGAAATTCGGTATTTTGATGATTTTTGCCACATTTCTCCTCGGATTTGTCTAACACATATACCGATACCTACCGATGTCGGGTATGTTGATAACCCTAGTCTCATTTAGGCACCCAATTGTTTCAAATTTGGTATTTTAGAAGGTTTGATAGATGACAATCCCTGAAGTATACTATTGTCCACAGAGGTTCCCGTTTTGGTATGGCCCCATATAACGGCCTCATTTACTTTATGGTTTTTTGATAAGTTAACTGCATTATCCAAACCGTCTTTCTGGTATATGAAGTTTAAAGTGAAACACGCTTGAATTCAGATACTTTTACATAAAAATGATTCCTTTACCCTAAGGTGGATGATAATAATAGTTCTGCCCGGCCGAACTTAATTTTTATACCCTACACCACATAGTGGTAAGGGTATTATGTCTTTGTGCATTTGTTTGTAACATGGAGAAGGAAACGAGATAGAGAACCTTCATAGAATCACTTTCTGAGTCGATTTATGCATGTCAGTCCGTCTGTCCGTCCGTCCGTCTGTCCATGTATTCTTGTGAACAAAATGCAGGACGCATTTATTATCCGATTGAGATGAAATTTTCCAAACAATATTTTTTTGGCCCAAGGACGAACCCTATTGAAATTGGTGAGAATCGGATCAAATTTAGATATAGTTCCCATATATATCTTCATCCGATTTCGGGTTAAATGTGCACCAAATGTCCACTATCAGTCCAAATTACCTGAATTTTGGCACACCCAACCGAGTTTGGCCTAGAAGCAAGTATATCAAATTTGGAGAAAATCGATTCAGATATAGCTATAGCTCCCATATATATCTTTCATCCGATTTGATCTTTAAGTCCCTCACATTCCTACTATGCACTCCACAACCGTGATATTTGGTACCAGGTATTAGATGGAGCACAGAAATAGCTGTTTTAAATTTTATCGAAATCGGTTCAGATTTGGATATAGCTCCCATATATATCTTCATCCGATTTCGGGTTAATTGACCACCAAATGGCCAATATAAGTCCAAATGGACTGAATTTTAGTACATCGGACCAAATTCAACCTAGAAGCAGGTATATCAAATTTAGTGAAAATCCGTTCAGATTTAGATATAGCAACCATATATATGTTTCATCCGATTTAGTGTTTTAGTCCCTTACATTCGTAATATACACTCCACAACCGTGATATTTGGTACCAGGTATTAGATGGAGCACAGGAATAGCTGTTTTAAATTTTATCGAAATCGGTTCAGATTTGGATATAGCTCCCATATATATCTTCATCCGATTTCGGGTGATTGACCACCAAATGGCCGTAATAGCATCAATTTTGGCAAATCCGACCGAAACCAGCTTAGAAGCAAGTACACCAATTTTAGTAAAAATCGGTTCAGATATAGCTATAGCTTCCATATATATCTTTCATCCGATTTGGTCTTTAAGTCACTCACATTCGTAATATGCACTCCACAGGAATGATATTTGGTACCAGATATCAGATAAAGCCCAAAAATAGTTGATTTTAATTTTATTAAAATCTGTTCCGATTTGGATATGCCTCCCATATATATCTTCATCCGATTTCGTGTTAATTGTGCATCAAATGGCCAATATCAGCCCAAATGGCATGAATTTTGGCAAATTCAACCGAAACCAGCCTATAAGCAAGTACACCAATTTTAGTAAAAATCGGTTCAGAGATTTGATTTTGTACCAAATATCTCATAGAGCTCTGAAATGCCCTGTATAAACCTTTTTATGAGAGCTCTACTACATATGCATAGTGGTGTAGGGTATCATATAGTCGGCCCCGCCCGACTTTTGAGCTTTCCTTACTGGTTTTACTTGATTTTAGAGTAATATGTAGTATTTGTCATTGAAATTGCGCTTTGGACACCCCATAATGTCCATATCTTTTATCATAGTATAATTCAAAGACGATTAAACAAATGTCCGGTTCCTTAAATCATATGATGGTTATACAAAACGTGATCAGCTTTTGCAAGGATGGTTTCTTCCCAAATTACCAACATTTGCCGAAATTAGTATGAAAATATGGTTAAAATGTAAGATATACTTGAAATCGGGTAATATCCTTATCCGGGAGTTATGACCCATATCATAAACTGCAAAAGCGATTTAAGGTATCGTGAAAGTTTAGGAAGAATTTCTGAAAGAATAGAAATCCTTTTCCTTCTTCTTTTTGCGCCCTCTATATTCGGTATTTCGTTGATTGAAGTCCCAATGAATTTTGCATTTTGAGTTCTCATTGGACGGATTATTGTCATGTAAAAGAAGTGGGTAAGTCCCCGTTTACGTAAGTCCCCGGATTTGCCGTTTTTTTTTTTTTTTTTTTTTTTTTTTTTTTTGTTTAAATGTGTTCGCATCTTCGAGCTGAAGCACGATGTAGATCCTGAAGTTGAAAGCTAACTGCCAATTTCAGACATGAAAGATCGCTATTTAACATCGTATTGCGTACTATTTTATTTTTGATATTATTCATTCAGAGATCAAAACAATAAAAAAAATGTACACTTCTATATAGTTTTTAAATTGAAAAAAATGCACGCCAAAAGGATTTTTTCTCTTATATTTTTATTGGCATATTTTACGCAATTTTTTCCCCCAAGACTCCATTCCGAAGTTGTATGAAAATCCGTCAAAACGATCTTGAGTTATAAGCATAGTAACTAATAAACAAATTGAAAAAAAATCTTCAACTTGTTCGCTTGTTTTTTACAGCGAATGTTTAAAGGTCCTTACGAACTTTGGTCCTTACTATTATTTTGAAATTTGATTCCATTGAAAAAATGTTCTCTATTTTTTTCCGATTTTAGAGATTTTGCAAGGCTCTTTTTTGATTTTTTAGCAGTTTTGAAAAAAGGAATTATCTTTTAACTTTGGTTTGACCACGTTAAATTATTTTGACATCATCTATTCAGGTCCGTAACTCCATAATTGTTGTCGCTTTATACTACCCAAAAAGACTACACATCATATTAGAATTCAATTCAAAAGAAAAGAAAACACTACAAATGTACATTTCAAAATAGTGAGTCAAAATTGAAAAAAATCATGCAAAATAAAACATTACTATTGTTCACCTCAACAGTCAAAATTAAAATTTTCAAATTTCACATTTTTACGCGATTTTTTTGGATTTTATTCTTTTCTGCCAAGAGGCAATTCCGAATTTGTCTAAATCGTTAAAATCAGACAGGCGGTCTTTATGTTATAAGAGTAGTAACTAACACAACTTTCTTTTACACATAGAGAGATAGATATACAAGTAGGCGCGTTCCTCAGCCCCTAAATAAGTACTTAGGGTTGGATGGAAAGCCAACAGCATCTCGTGTAATAATTCTCAAACCGATAACTTAACCATTTTGACAAATATAAAGATTTTAGATAAATCGTAATAGTGGGCGTAAAAGGAGGCGTGGTCAATATTTTTTTCTTTAAAAACCTAATTTGAGGTATGACGAACGTTTTTACAAAAAATTATGCAAATCGGTCCAGCCGTTTTAAACTGATTCCATTACCAACACACAACAATTGATTTTTGGATATATAGATATATACAAAATTTCTCGATTTTTTTCAATAATTTCAAGTTTTTACTTCCGCGCTTTTCTAGAGGCTTTTCTCAAAATTTTCATTCATGAAAACGTTTCCATAAGAAAATTTGAGACAATTCGGCCAATCAGTTCTCAACTGGTGTGTTTCAATATTTTTTAAATTGTATACATATAAATTTAATGAAGTATGTGTGGCCAGTTCCTCTGACCACAAAAATATACCTAGGGTTGAAGGGAGAGTCAAGAGTACGTACGTACGTACATATACTAACTATGGAACAAAAGTAGTCGTGGTCAGTTCCTCTGCCCAAAAAAAATACTTAGAGTTGGATGGAAAGTCAACAGTATCTTGTGTAAAAATGTTCAATCCGATACCTTCATTATTTTGGCAACAATAAGGATTTTAGATAAATTGAAATAGTGGGCGTAAAAGTAGGCGTGGTCAATATTTTTTCTTTAAAAACCTAACTCGGGTATGACGAACGTTGGTACAAAAAATAATGCAAATCGGTCCAGCCGTTCTCAACTGATTCCATTACCAACGAATAACAATTGATTTTTAATATAGAATAGATTTCGATATTTGGAGTTTAAGATATGTCCTTCCTGCGGTGGTGGAACATTTTCTAGGTAGATGGTCGTGTTTCTACGGCCCCCATATAACGGGTTTTTCAGATATTCAGTGTTACATATTTTTCATCGGAAGTGTTTAAATTAACAATAGATATCAAACACTGTAGCAGAAAATTGTCTACATAGGTCCATGATTTCCTATAGCCCCCGTACAACGTTAACCCCCGATGTTCGGTACTTTGATAATTTTAGCAACACTTTTGAAAGGCGATGTTTCAAATTTGGTATTTAAAACTCGTAATATATTTAACAGCTCTGTAGCAGCAAATTGTTAGTGTAGGTTCATGTTTGGTACAGACACCACTTAACCATACTTACACCACTTATGATATTTTGAAGATTTCTTCAATCGCATTCATAAACATTTGCAGTTTAAAATGGAATTAGTTCGAATATTGAATCCGAATAAAATAAGATATTTTGCTCTGCAAATTACTGTACTTTTTTACTCCTGGTAACCTGTATGACATTCGGTTTGTCTATAGCTAATATTCGGATGCTCTTTTGATTTTTGGAACAAGATAAAATTGCTCGTAGTTCTAACATAGGAAGCTGGTTTATGTCAAAATTGATGTATCATTTATACATTTTTTTTTCAACTGCAAATAACCCGCACATGTGAAATAAATTCAATACAAACTCAGATCTCATTCTCAACTATTTATAACTTAAGTGGAAATAAAACACATTTGCAGAAATGTTGTGCTGGTATTCTTGTTATTTAGAAGATGTTGTCACATTTAAACATGCCATACTTTATTTCGTACTTTACAATTTCAGTTTATTCTTTTGTTTTACTTACCGTACATAGTCTAATGTAAAATTAGTTTTTGTTTTAATAAAATTAAGAAATAGGAACTTAAAATGTATTATTTTTCTTCAAACGTAAACATATACATACACAGATTTTGTAAAAACAATACATACATATTTAATAGTAACATACTAATCTTTCGGGGACCTTGTTGCAATTAATTGTATCTGCTGATGGGGAAAACTTCTGAAGTCGCAACTGTTGGTAAACTGCATATATTTATTGTGTTATTTTTTTTTTTTTTTTTTTTTGAGATTGGTAAACACTTAAATACTAAAAAATAGTACATACATATGACGTAGTATTACATTTTGTCGATTTTGATTTTTAGTTTAGTTGTGTTTTGATTTGATTTGTTTTCAACAATATAGTTAATATTTAGTGATGTTTTAAAACGTTTGTGTAATTTTATTTTTATTTTTTCGAAGAGAAGAAGCATTAGTGGTTAAAGCATATGAAATGTTAACGTCTTAATTTTCTAAACAAAGATATTCCGTTAGTTGGCAATTTTGGAGCAACAGTTTAGCCTTTTTTCATGTTTTCAATTTTATCGTGATTTTTTGCGAATAAAACATTATTTAAAATTTATACTTGGCGATACGATTTTGGTTTTGGGGGTTTTTCATTTATATACACAATTTATACTAACTTACTAACCAAAACAACATATAGAAATAATACAAATAACTTTTAAATAAAGTATTGATTTGGACAGCATTCCAATTGTATTTGAATGATGCGTTGTGCTGGTTTATAATCCTTGTTTCGAACAAACATATTTTTGGCTTCGTTTAAGTCATAGTCCTGTGTTGGGGTAGAACGTTTTCGGGCTTGGTGTTGGACATGGTTTCGGGGCATTTTGTAGTTATTTAAACTTCGGTTTCCGAGCGGCGCCTTCTACCTGGACCGCCCGGGAAATTGGCAGCAGCTAGGCCCATGCGATGTTTTGCCTCTTGTGTACCAGAATAGCCACGAGCCAAACCAAAGTCCACAGTACGTTTGGAACTGCAAGCGTAAAATTTTATATTAAAGAATTAAATTTTAAATAATAAAACAATAATATTATTTTATAATACTTTTTTAGAAATTAAACCATTACGAGAAAATAAAGAATAATATGATAAGAGAGAAAAATAATAGCAATATTGTGTTTTGTTAAATTTCATGGGAAGTCAATCTCGCCGAGCTGAGTTGATCTGAGTCGAGACGGACAGATGGTCCGTCCGTCTGTCCGAATCAATTTGTAATCACGCCACCGCTCGCAATTATGGCAGGATTCACACGAAACTTTGCATGGAGAATAGAACATTATCGACTTGAGATGATCTCAAAATAAATATTTCTGAGTTTTAAGTTGCTCTATGGGTCATAATTATAGACCAATCGACTAATCGAAATTTTGCATGGGATGAGTGTTAAGGGCTGCACAGAGGCCTACCAGTTTCGATGGTTATGGAATAATATTAAGTGTATGAAATAAAACATAAGTTTCAAATGTTAAACAATTAAACCGCGAATATTTTTAGTTCGCAAGAAATCAAGTCAATTAAAAAAATTGGTATTAAAATTCGAATTCAAAAATAAAATATAAAAAACACTACAAATGTACATTAGAAAAAAGTAAGTCGAAATTGAAAAAAAAATCATGCAAAAAAAAAAAACATTACTATTGTACATTTGAAAAGTCAAAATTAAAATGTTAATATATCACATTTTTACGCGATTTTTTGGATATTATCCTTTTCGGAAGGAGAAAATTCCGAAATATATATATATATATATATATATATATATATATATATATATATATATATATATATATATATATATATATATATATATATATATATATATATATATATATATATATATATATATATATATATATATATATATATCTATATATATAAATGTAAGTTGTGTTAGTTACTACGCTTATAACTTAAGAACCGCTGGACTGATTTTAACGATTCACACAAATTCGGAGTTGTCTCCTCTCCGAAAAGGATAATATCCAAAAAATCGCGTAAAAATGTGATATATTAACATTTTCATTTTGACTTTTCAAATGTACAATAGTAATGTTTTATTTTGCATGATTTTTTTCTATTTTGACTGGCTTTTTTCTAATTTACATTTGTAGTGTTTTTTATATTTTATTTTTGAATTCAATAATAAAACCAATTTATTTAATTGACTTGATTTCTTGAGAACTGAAATTGATGGCGGGTTACATGGAAGTGTAATACCGAATTATATGGTGGCGAAACGGAATAGATGATATCGAAATGATTTAACGCGTCACACCAAAAGAAAGATAATTATTAATTAAAAGATAATTACTTTTTCAAATTCGCTAAAAAATCACGAAAAAGAGATCTCATTGCAAAAATTCTCAAATCGGGAAAAAATCGAAAAGATTTTCAGTGGAATCGAATTTTAAAATAATAGTAAGGGTCTTTAAACATTTGCTGTAATAAATCAGCGAACAAGTTGAAGATTTTTTCAATTTGTTATTCTTCTTTTGCATTTTTTTTTTAATTTGTATTATCATATTGAATTCAGTGGATTTTTTTTGTGAACAAAATAAAGAATAATTTTTCACTATATACAATTTTTCAACAAAAAACTGAAATAAGTGCGAAATACGATGTTAACTGACATCTACCTTTCAACTATAGGGCCGACATCGTGGTTCAGATGGAAGATGCGAACACATTTAAACAACCAAAAATGACAGAAAAAGCCTAATGGAGCTCATTTCAAAGCGTGGACCTACTTCTTTCATGTGGCAATAATCCGTCCAATGAGAGCTCAAAATGCAAAATTCTTTGGGAGTACAATCAGTAAAATACCAAATATAAAGGACGGAAAATAGTAGAGCGAATGAGACTCTTAGTAAGAAAAGGATTTCTATCCTTCCAGAAATTCTTCACAAACATTCAAGATACCTTAAATCACTTTTGCAGGTCATGATATCGATCATAACTCACGATAAGGGTACATCCCGATTTCATATTTATATAATCATCATATGATTTAAGCTATTTTTGGGGTCTTGGCCACTTTTTTCATTGCTTGGCCCTTATTTGGCATCTTTGTCTCTAAGGGGTTAGGGACAGAAAAGAAAATTTTGTATTCTATTGAATTTGTAACTCTCAAGAGCATATTGGTTGGAAACGTAGATTTGGGATATACATCTATATGATAATATGGAGAATAAAACTATTTTTACTCATTTAAATCACGCGAAATTTTTTTCAGTTTGACATGCTATGTTGTTCTGTTAAATTTTTGATTTGGTCTCTATTTAACTTTGGCTATTCTTAATTCATTCAGCGCTCAATTATGAGGTGTACAAAATACAGCAAATTCCTAATTACTGCTCATTTGACTGGAAAATTTTGCTACGATTTTTATCATACTAAAAATTAATTTGATCCTTTACATGGGGATAAGATTGATATATACTTTTTAATAGATTTGTATAGCACATCCACACCTTTGAAGCCCACGGCTTAAATATGGGTACAGGTATTTTAAAACACTTTTAATCGACCAGTACGGGAACACTTATATCAGTCATATCTGTGAATAATTATGCTTTGACAAATATGCATAATAGACAAAAACTACTGGCCGGCAACGCGGACCGGGCCAGCTAGTATATATATATATATATATATATATATATATATATATATATATATATATATATATATATATATATATATATATATACGAAGACGAGGGCCTTCATACGCAAATTTTTGCCATATCGAAAAAGGGAGTTACCGTTATATGTGGGGTGACGAGGACGTGGGCCTGTATAGATAATTTTCTGTCATCGGCTGAAGTATCTACTACGAACAATTCCGGTCTGTAATGTCCATAAAAATACCGAATATTGGGAGGTACCGTTATATAGGGACTGCATAATTATTTTTTTCTCATAGGTTACAGTACCCATTAGAATTTTCAAATACGAAATTTAAAACAATTCCGTTGACTAATGTCGCTAAAATCACCATATAACCGTTTTTATTTAAACGGTATTTTTGGAAGACATTTTCTTCGGTCGAACTTAGCTTAGATCTTATAAAAAATATGACAAAATCAACAAGTAAAAAAACACTTGTTGATTTTGTCATATTTTTTAACGCATCAAACTTTTTCAATTTGACTTTCAATATTGCAAATATTTTTCAAATTTAACGAGACATTTATGCATTTTCAATTCGGGCTTGTATTACCCATTTGGAGCAGAATTAACTCGAAATCGGATAAATATATATATGGGAGCTATATCCATATCTGAACCGATCTCGAAAAAATTTAGCAAAGGTATTTCTGAGCTGTATTTGATATAAAAAAAAAATCGAATGAACGATATATATGGGAGCTATAGCTATATCGGAACCGATTTCGATAAAATTTGACATACTCATTTTCAAGCCTAATCTGGTCGAATGTGCAAAATTTCATACTATTTGGGCTGATATTATACGTTTGGTGCACAATAAGAGCTATATCCAAATCGGAACTGATCTCGATAAAATAGAACAAAGGTATTTCTGAGTTTTATTTGATATATTTCCCCAAATACCGTTGTTACAAAGTGCATATTACGGCTGCGGAGGGCAAAAATAACAAATCGGATGAACAGTATATACCGGAGGTTTAGCTATATCTGAACCGATTTCGATCAAATTTGGCATACTTATTTTCAGGCCTAATCTGTATGTGCAAAATTACAAACAATTTGGATTGATATTACATTTGGTGCACAATAAAAGGAAAATATTGGTTCCAGATCTAGGATGACTATTTCAAAAAAAAAAAGCAATTAGTTTCAACATTTGCATTTATTATGTAGTAGATATAGGGATGTTTCTTACGGGAATATTCATTCTAGTCAAAGAGTTCAGATCTGCAGAAATTTTCAAATCAAACATTTTATTGTACACTTCTAATTATTTTTAAAATTTTACCGAATATGTTTTGTGATGTCCTGAAAAAGTTGGAAAAAGTAAAACGTTGAGTAAAATATTAATTAATAAAAATAACTGACCGAATGAGCTCGGTGGAAAGACTTATACACATAAAAGGCAATTTCAATAGGTCATAAATACAATAAATTAAACGATTTACTTTACCGAGCAAATCCCAATCTACATTTTTGTGTAATTTCTTTAACATTGTGTTCATTCTTTAAACTTCTATTACATTTTTTATAAGAAAACTTTAAATACCTAATCTCGTTTGCGGCCACACAAGCTGAAATGTTCAAATATTCATTACTTACTTTTCCAAATCATTGCGAGCTCTCATTATTGTTTGTCCAAAGCGTGCCATTAATTCCATTAGGATATCATCCGGTACTTCTTCGAGCTCATTATAATAGCCATTATTTTGGCTGTAAGAAAGAGAATAGAAAAACCAGAATGGGCAATGAGTGAAGTGTTGTGGAAAATTAATATTTTATTATTAATTGTTTTAATCCTTCTGCTATAAAATCCAATGAATAAATTGTTTGTATGTTTTAAAATCCCAAGACAAGAAGTTTCAACATTAAGTTGGCTGAAAAATTGTTTCCCAATAGATTAATAACTTTAAAGAACGTGTCTCAGCACAATGTGCCGCAACCAATGTATTCATTTTTTTCTAAAACAAAGGAATTTACAATTCAGGCTTCTTAAATCGTCATATTTTTGTGATTGTGTAAATTAACGAAAACATACTGGAAAATATGTCTTAATCAAAATTGATAATAACTGCTGCAAAACTTACTGCAAAGTTTAAATTGATAATAACTGCTGGCAAATAATTGAAATTTCATTAATGTAAATGTCTTGTTGTGTTTGTTAGGTAATCCCAACCGTTTTGTATAAATGCTGCCGTATTTCATTCTTGTATAGTCCAATTTCCCCTTTTAATGCTGGAGCCTTCGTGGGCTTATGTGACTTCATCGACGTGACTTCATCGACTTCAAAAACCCCAAAGAAAATAATCTAAAAGTGTTAAATAGCACTAATCTGGTCTTAAAAACGCGACCGAAAAATGGCCGATGTAGTAATTGAATCGTTTCTCTGGCTAGCACATGCCCTTCATTTTTTCAATTCTAGGTAGGTAAAAACTGGTTATCAGCTCACGATTGCCTTCTAGTTGATATACCCTTAACATACATTCTCTTGTCCTGTATTAAAAAACGAATTCGGTACTATGTTCTGTACTTAAGCAATTTTGTTGGGCAAAAGTTTAAAAAAGAAATATTTTCCTTTAATTATAATGGGGTCGTATGAGACATATAGCCATATCTGAACCGATTTTCACAAAATATGACAGGCTTACGCCCATCCATCCTAGTTTGGCTGATATTACACATTATAAACGTGATATTTATATATGGAAGCTGTATATAAATCTGGACGATTATCACCAATTTTGGTATGATCCGTCTTGCAGACCTAACACACCTCAGAATAACATTAAGCCCACTTCATTTCGTTCGGAATATAGAGTGATTTCCATAGACAGACGGATGGACGTTTCCAAATCGACTTACGATATATTTTGAAGTGATACATACGTAATGATTAAGAGCGAATGATTTCCACAATTAGTTCAAAATTGCATATATCGTGTAGTTTGAATCACGCTAATACAAGTGCCTTCCCATCTTTCTTTCTTGTACCTTCCCATCAAAATATATCTCAAAAATGTGAAAATATAGACTGATTTCTTTCAAACCACGGTCTTTTTAATATCTTGCTTATATTGCTATAATTGAACACCGTCAACTTCTAATGGTGCCTCCCCTTAAAAAATTCGTTACTTTTAAAACAATAATCTACCTTAAGGTAAGAAAAGATAAAATCTGACGTAGTAGTAGTATTATCTTATATTAAGCGCGGAGATATTATAGTAGCTATACGGCATAGAAAATATGTTAGCGGCTGAAGCTAAAATCTCGAAATTTTGCATGTTGGTCAGTATTGCCTTTTAAGAGTGGGATAAGGCTTGGTTTTTGGAAATTCGAACTATTAGAGTATTAAAATTGAATCTATTTTATTCGTCAATCGGATGGAACCAGAATTCTTAAATTTGGAACGATAGCCGCTTATGGGGTGTAGGATAATTCGAACAAGAAATGTTCTGAATGTATGTACTAAGAAGCATTAAATGGTACTAAATTTGGTACATTTTGGGCCTGGGTGAACGGTTGTAGATGGAATCTTGACATAATGTTGTGGTCACTGTTAGTGTGTTGGGTCGACATTAGGTGGTGATTTTGGAAATATGCACTTAAATATACGCAAAGTACCAAATGGTACAAAATTTGGTATATGAGAAAGGGAAAGAGTTGGAAATCTCAAATTTTGCATTAGGCTCACTTTTGTGAGATGGGGTTGTAATATGGAGGTGCTATTATTTATGATAGAGGAACCAAAGGTTTTTTTTTTTTTTTTTTTGAAAATTCGAACAATAAATGTATCAAAAGTACGAAACTGCATTAAATTTGGTACAATTTCGAATTATGTGAACAGATAGAGGTTAAATTATGAAATTTGGTCCGGTGTGGGAAGTAGGTTAGACAAAAGAGGTGAAATGCGTGTTTAGTATAAGAACTGTACTAATAATTTAGTACCATGATTTTATACAATTTAATTTTGGTTGAACGGATGGAGCTGGAATGTTGACATTGGGGTCACTGCTGGTTGGTAGGGTTAAAAAAGAGTAGGTTTGGGAAACACGTACTAAGAAAGTACGATTAGTACTAAATGACTATACATTTTATTTAATATACATTATATTTGGGGTAAACAAAGCTCACATAACTTCACTTTATATAAATACCTTTTTCCGTATACGAAGTAGCGGGTTTTAAAATAAAATTGTAATTAATATGGTATATTAACATAGAATGTATTCCCTATTGAACAAAGTTGAAAACTACCAAATTTAATTTTTAACAATTTTCACACAAATGCAAATAAGCTTTAAATGAAACCGTAATATAACCAATTCTGGATAGCAAATAATGCCCTGCTACTTTAAAATTGTGACTTTCACAAATGTAAACAAGAGAGCTTAACATGTTGCTCTTCCTCGGACTAAATAATTCTAAGAAATTGTAAGTTCATTACAACACTTTATTAGGTGTAGAATAACTGAATATATACACTTCAGAACACAGAATAATAATGATGTCAAACGGACTTAAAGACCACAAAGCTTCCTCCTTATAGGACAGAAGGTCTCGTTTCTAATGAGCATTACTCAATTCAGTTTACATTACCATTAGTCTCTCAATTTGAAAATGTTATGGTGTTGGTGCGCCAGGGCATCTTCGTAGGAAATAAAGTGTGAGTGGCTGTGGAATAAATTTTATCATCTGAAAATAGAACTGTATGTATGTACGCTTGAGTGTGTATACGTTTTAATTTTGTTCCTGTGTTCCTGAACTAATTATGAGGAAACAACCAAAACATGGCTAATAAAAATGTTAATCTTCCCCCAGTATCTCGGCTTGTCCAATGTCCTTGTTAAATATTCATTAGACTCCTGTTTACGACGTGGACATATATTGTCTTCAACAAATGGCCAAAGTGCTACGAAATTAAAATGTTTGTATTGTGTGACATACATATGCAGTTGCTTTTAGGAAAATAACAGATAGGATGAGGCATATTTTAAGCGAGCAATTATTATTTTGTAGTGAAAATGCAGAGTAAAAACAAGTTAAAGGGTATCAGTCGGTTTTGCCTATAGGTTCATATTCTCGGCCTTTATCCGTTTATTAAAATATGTTTTGACATGTTTTATTATTATTCAAAATGTTGACCCTCTATAGGGGAGATACCGATGGAGTAGAAAAATATTTTCCATTTCGCTTATAACCTTAGTTTGATATAATTATTGGAGGTGACAGGTTTGGATAATGTGTATATATTTTTTGAAAATTCTCAACTTTTTTGGGAAGTTACAAAAAAGAGTGGGTCAACATACCGATCTCTTGTTTGTAAAAATATTGTAATATACATGGTTTGATGAAAATCGTTGATATATTTCACATGTTATGAGAGTAATAATTATTCAAAAATTCGACCCTTTGTGCGGGAGGTACCAGAAAGACAAAAACCGATATATTATATCCCCATAGCAGATCTTGTGTAGAATTAGAATGTTTCATGTTGCCTCATGTTTGTTTATACAAAATATTGAATCTTTGTGGGGGAGGTATTAGAAGTAAAAGTTTATTCTATCCGCTCCTCATACCTGATCTTGTGTTTGTAAATATATTAGTATGTGCTAAATTTGAAGACAATGGGACTCTCTTCTCACATTTTAGAATAGTTATTATTATTATTCAAAATGTTTACACGTTGTGGGAGAGGTATTATATGGAATGGACCGATATATACCATCATAATCAAAATTTTGAAATGTTGTTGGTATATCCCATTATATAATATTGAGATTTGCTAAATTTAAAGAGAATCTAATGCATATTTCGCATTTTATGAGCATTATAGATAATCTAAATATTGAACCTATGTGGAAAGGTATTCAAAGGAGTCTGATCCTATATAACCCATCTTCACATCAGATCTTGCTTTGGTAGAAATTTTGGGATGTGAGAAGTTTAAAAATAATCGAATGTTTATTTCGCATTTTATGAGCGAACCAGAAGGAGTGGTCCGCTATACTCCATCTTCATACCAGATTCTGTAATGGAAAAATTATGGGTTTGTGCGAAATTTGAAGAGAATATGCAGTATATTTTACATTTTATGAGGGTATTATATATTCAAAATTTGGACCCTTTGTGAGGGAGGAGTAATCCGATCTTGTACATTCTCGCAACCTGTATTGCGGTAAAGCAAAATTTGAACAAAATCATATTATCCGTTCTCTTCTTGTGCGGTAAATTATGATTTATAAAAATTATGACCTTTTTGTGGGGGTGGTACGGGCATCACTAAATCGACTCCAAATGTCCTGAAACGGATTTGGTCCAAAGAGACCTATGGTCTAAAACCGGTTTTTTCGACCAGGCACGTTTTGGCCGTTTCAATAGATATAGACCCTCTCTAGTCATATGGCTGAGGGTATAATTAACATATTCCGTTTATTATGTAACTTGAATGCATAAAATAGTATTGTGTATCACTGATGAACTTGTCTCTTGGTAGAACATTTTTGTCCTACTAAATCAATTTGTGGCCATTTCTCTTTATCCATTATAAAATTACCATAATATACAATTTATTACAAATTTATTTATAAACATTCCACAAAAATATTACTCAGACACAAAGACAGGATATTAATATTGTCTTGTTTTCATTTCCTTGTTTTATTTCCCTGAGTAGAGCAACAATTTCTTTTTCGACTCCTTTAAATTGTGTCTGACGAATGTATGTGTGTGTGTACGTTTGGAATGTAAGTCATTTCTTATATTAATTTAGATTAACAAAATGTAATTTTAATGTAATGGGAATTTAATTAACCGCATATGCCACACATGCACATAATTTGTATTTAAATATTCATAAAAATACATTAAACGTATATTCTTTAAAAAATACCACTACCTTGGCATTGGAGCACCCTCAGCGAACGACACCATCCACATGCAGAGCAAAGCTGAAATGAAGATGCCAGCAAAAACTTTTCTTTGTGTCATCATTTTCTCAAGTTGAGGGAAGTGTTGAAATAGGCAGAAAACTGTAATTAGAATAGACAAGAGATAAGAGATTAATACATACAAACAAATTGTAATTGTAAATGAGAAAAAGGCAATTAAATGTAAAAGCCTTACCCTCCACCTTAGGGTAAAGGAAACAATCTATATATATAAAAGGAAGTTGTGTTAGTTACTACGCTTATAACTTAAGAACCGCTGGAGAGATTTTAACGTTTCAAACAAATTCGGAATTGTCTCTTTTCCGAAAAGGATAATATCCAAAAAAATCGCGTAAAAATGTGATATATTAACATTTTCATTTCGACTTTTGAATTGTACAATAGTAATGTTTTATTTTGCATGATTTTTTTTCCATTTTGACTTACTTTTTTCTAATGTACATTTGTAGTGTTTTGTATATTTTATTTTTGAATTCGAATATTAATACCAATTTATTTAATTGACTTGATTTCTTGAGAACTGAAATTGATGGCGGGTTACATGGAAGTGTAGTACCGAATTATGCGGTGGCGAAACGGAATAGAGGATATCGAAATAATTAAACGCGGTCACACCAAAGTTAAAAGATAATTACTTTTTCAAAATCGCTGAAAACTCACGAAAAAGAGATCTCATTGCACAAATTCTGAAATCGGGAAAAAATCGAAAAAAAAAAATTTCAATGGAATCGAATTTTAATATAATAGTACATTCTATTGACAAACTTTGTAAGGATCTTTAAACATTTGCTGTAAAAAATCAGGTAACAAGTTGAAGATTTTTACAATTTGTTATTCTTTTTTTGTAATTTTTTTTTCCATTTGTATTATCATATTGAATTCAGTCGATTTGTTGTGAACAAAATAAAGAATAATTTTTCACTATATACAATTTTTCACCAAAAAAATGAAATAAGTGCGAAATAGGATGTAAACTGACATCTACCTTTCAACTCCAGGGCCTATATCGTGATTCAGCTGGAAGATGCGAACACATTTAAATAATCAAAAATGACCGGAAAAGCCTAATGGGCCTCATCTCAAAGCGTGAACATACCTTTTTTATGTGACAATAATCCGTCCAATGAGAGCTCAAAATGCAAAATTCTTTGGGAGTACAATCAGGAAAATACCAAATATAAAAGGTGCAAAATAGTAGAGCGAATGGGACTTTTATTAAGAAAAGGATTTCTATCCTCCCAGAAATTCTTCCCAAACATTCAAGATACCTTAAATCGCTTTTGCAGGTCATGATGTAGATCATAACTCTCGGATAAGGGTACAACCCGATTTTATATTTATATAACCATCGTATGATGGTTTGGGGTCTTAGTCCCTATTTATTTTTTGGCCCTTATTAGGCATCTTTGTGTCTACGGGGGTACAGAACCTCTTCGCATAAAATTTGAAATTTTCAGAGTAGGGCCCATATTGGTCTTGAACACATTCATCAATTGATTTGGCTAAAAAATTTTGTTATGCTACCCTGGGGTAGCAGATAATTGCCACATAGGAATTATTTAAGTAAAGTCTCCACATTGGAGTATCCCCAAGTCCACTTTCACACCTAATGTGTGGTCAGAAAGGAAAATTTTGTATTCTATTGAATTTGTAACCCCCAAGAGAATATTGGTTGGGAACGTAGATTTGGAATGTACATCTATATGAAATAAATTGTGGAAACATGAACAAATTACAAATATAAGAAAGTAGTACGGGACCGAATATTTGTTGAATCGACATTGAATTATGCTACGATGAAAAATATGGATTTTATGGGGTCTCCAATTTACAATTTAAATGGAAAATAAAATAAATTCCCATCTTACGGTAATGGGTGTGAAATACCTATAATTTTGATTTGGCCTCTATTTGTCATATTGGATTTTAACGGGTAGAAGAAAGTTTTCAAAGTAGGTCGATGTTTCGGAGTAGTGCCCATATAAAGGTACCTCCTGATTTTACCATATTTCAAAGGATTTGGCTAAAAATGTGTATTCGGGGGGTGAAAATCTTACACAAAAATGTCAACATATTCACAAATTTTAGAATTTTCTCCATGCAATAGTATCCCCTCAAGTCCACCTTTTGGCGGACAAACAGACCGACTTGGTTAGGGGGACTTATGAGGACTCTAATGCACAATCTAAGGTGCTAATGGGTTTAAAAAAGTAATTTACTTTGCCCTATTCTTAAATCATTCAGCCCTCAATTATGAGGTGTACAAAATACAGTAAATTCCAAATTGCTTCTCATTTGACTGTAAAATTTTTCTACGATTTTTACCATACTAAAAATTAATTTGATCCCTTACATGAGGATAAGATTCATATACACTTTTTAATAGATTTGTATAGCACATCCACACATTTGAAGCACACGGTTTAAATATTGAAGTCCACGGCTTATAAATGGGTACAGATATTTTAAAACACTTTTAATCGACCAGTACGCGAACACTTATATCAGTCATATCTGTGAATAATTATGCTTTTAAAAATATGCATAATAAACAAAAACTACGGGCCGGCAACGCGGACCGGGCCAGCTAGTTTTATATAAAAGTATCTGAATTCAAGCGTGTTTCACTTTAAACTTCATATACCAGTAAGACCGTTTGCATAATGCAGTTAAATTTATCAAAAAACCACAAAGTGAGTGAGACCGTTATATGGGGCCATACCAAAACGGGAACCTCTATAAAAAATTTTAGACTTCAAAGATTGTCATCTATCAAAGCATCTAAAATACCAAATTTGAAACAATTATGTGGGTAAATGTAACGAGGATTATCAAAATACCGAATATCGGTGGGTATCGTTATATGTGCGCTTTAGGAAAATGTAGAACTAAATATTCATTGTTTTGCCACCGGGCTAGAACGCATTATGAACTGGAAATACCAAATTTTATCAAAATATTGAATATCGTGAGGTACCGTTAAATGGGGGCTATATCAAAACGTGAACCTATACATACAATGTTTCGCCATATGAGCTAGAAACCACTTTGACCAAGAAATACAAATTTTTAGGTAAATCCGCCAAAAAAAAATGTGGAAAAAATCTTCAAAATACTGAATATCGGGAGGTACCGTTAAATGGGGGCTATATCAAAACGTGGACTTATACATACAATGTTTCGCCATACGAGCTAGAACCCACTTTTACCAAGAAATACAAATTTTTAGGTAAATCCGCGAAAAAAAAATGTGGAAAAAATCTTCAAAATATTGAATGTCGGGAGGTACCGTTATATGGGATCTATAGCAAAACGTGGACCTATGTCTTCAATGTTTCGCCACACGAGCAAGAACCCATTATACCCTACAAAGATCAATTTTAAGACAAATCTGTGAAAAAATGTAAAGAAAATCATAAAAACGAAAATGTGAACCTATACATGCAATGTTCCGCCTGTGAAACTAGAACCCATTATCACCTACAAATACCAATTTTTAGACAAATCCGTGACAAAATATGGCGAAAATCATCAAAATACCAAATATTGAATATTTAGGGATGTTACAAACGGAATGACAAAGTTTGTATACCCTCCTTTTCAAGGTGGAGGGTATACAAATTGTGTGCTGACCTTAAAATAAGCTTGCCATTATTTCAATTATTTGCCTAAGTCTGGAGTATCCCCTCATAGGCTTAAATTTATATTACTCCCTATTACAGAGAATAATGTTTTTTCAAAATGAACCTCACGGCATTGATTCTGGCGAAGGGAAGGTCACTTGGCCTTTGTAGCTTATTGATATGACGATTTTGGTTAAAAGCAAGCTCTTTAGCGATGAGCAATCGCAAGTGAACGAGAATCACACTCAGTTCACTGGTATCATCTCAGAAATGTAATACCATCACACAGAGATATAACGCATAATAAATAGGGCGAATATGGAAACGTCACGGAACAACTCAGAAATTTATGTTATTGTGGAAACCAAAACCTTGTTGCACAGTATTATCTGTTTAGTGTAGTTACATTGGTAACAGTCCATCTGCGGCATTTTAGTTCGACAAACATAAATATACAGTAATCTTAAAAGTATAAATCACACAAATTCCCATTGCATTTAAAACAGTTCATTATTTACACAGTCTACGGCTTGCTAAGATGTTGCCGGCGATGTAGTTGTGCTTTTCAACGGCATTAGCAAATTATCCTTCACACCTGTGTTCTTCCACATCATAACAGGAATTGTAATTGATAAACTGTGAATGTCTCTGGTGAGAAAGCAGTCTAAACAGTTGCTGTCACTCTCTTCATTTTAATGATAGTCTTTCCGGAAGAATGATTTGCAAACTGTGCAGTCCATATCGCCTATGCAATACACATAGATGATAGAAAAGTTTTGTCGGGTGTCATATACGACGTTAACATCATCTAGATGTAAAAATGTTCCTTTCATTGTTTTACTAGCCTTTAAGGCATAGGCAAATAAAACCCCTTTCGTTTACATAATCTGATGAACAATTCACATAGTTTTAACTAAAACATTTTTGAATTGAATTAATAGAATGCAGAAAGAAGGAAAATAAGGATCTTAAAGGATTCTGCTCCAAGGGTTTTGAAAGTTTAAAAAATTGAAAATTGCGAAAAATAAGATATAACTCGATTAAAGAAATGAATATTAAAAATTTAAATTAAAAGACAAATACAAAATTGCTTAAGGAATTAAAATAAGTGCTATTTCCGAACAATTTATGTTAATGTTTACACGAAATTTGTAAAAGCTAAAGTTTGGCTAGAAATTCATTCTCTAGATATATCTTCAACAATCATATCAAAATATATCTTCAACAATATCAACGATCTTGTAAAACAAATGAAAAAGAATTAGTCTCCTGAGCTTTTGTCTGATAATAAAATATATTTTGATCTGATTATTCAAAAGGTTTGCCCTTTATTGGGATGACAATCAAGGAGCGGGTCAATAACTTCTATTTTACATATGGCCTAAGTCTGATATAATTGTGCGACGTGTCAGGTTTGGACATAGTTGTACATATTTTTTAGAAAATGTTGAACTATTG